GTCGACGGCACCCGGAGGAGGCCCAACCTGTGTGATCTTATTGGTCATTGGGAGGTGAATGGCGGGAGGCGGTCTCTCAGGTCCAATACCATGTAGGGCTTTAAAAGTAACGACTAGCACTTAGTCTTGCTCTTGCCCCCCCCCCAAAAAAAATTATAAGGTTTTATACATCCAGTTCACCATGCTAATGTAGTGTGATAGTACTCCATCTAAGCCAGTGTTCTTGTGAGTTTTTTTTTTTTAACACGGACAAAAATTGCAAATATTTTTCAATGTTTCTTTTGACAGAATCTCAGTCCAACCACTCAAATCAATCTGACAGTGGAGTTTCAGACACCCAAACAGGACATGTCCGTTCCCAAAGTATCGTTAGCTCCATCTTTTCAGAAGCTTGGAAGAGGGGAACTCAGTTGGAAGAGTCGAGCAAGATTAACGTAAGTATAATCATGGTTGCAAGGGAATTGTCCCCCCCCTTACAAAATCCGGACTTGCTCGAAGGTCCAGTGGCGGTGGTGGTGGTGTTGCTTCTAATGCAGAATGCCAAAGTGTAAACCAGCAAAGCCTCCTGACTTCTGAAAACGTGTCATGGCGGGGGAAAGTTGCTTGAAGTCCCCCGTTGGTTTCCCCGTCCCGCTGATCCTCCGTGTTTCATGCTATGTTTTTGTTCTTGTTTTTCCTGTTGCCCTGCAGTCTCATGTGGCAAAAGCAAAACCTGGAACATCTCTCAGCTCCACTGCAGTGATGGCTTAAAGCAGGGGTAGAGTTAAGGTCAGGGGCTTTGTTTCAACTATTAACCCGGGGGAATGATGCAACCCAAATCATGCAGACTAACTTTCAATCTTTAGATGTCTTGATCAGTTCACAAGTGCTTGAACCCGTCCTGGCTTAATTCGACTCTTGTTATGCCGCCCGCATTAATCCGTGCAGTTCTGGTTTAGCCTGGGTTACTGAGAAACATGGCCCAGAATGAAAAGATCTCTAGTATGCTACATTGCTTGCCAAAGTCTGGATCGAGCCGAGGTGGCGCCGTGGTTAGGGGTGCAGTACTGCAGGCCACTTCAGCTGACTGTGATCTGCAGGTCAGCGGTTCAAATCTCACCGGCTCAAGGTCGACTCAGCCTTCCATCCTTCCGAGGTGGGTGAAATGAGGACCCAGATTGTGGGGGCAAATTGCTGACTCAATTTGCTAAAAAAAATTTAAAAAAAATTGTAAACCGCTTAGAGAGGGCTGAAAGCCCTATTAAGCAGTATAGAAGTCTAATAAATAAATCCTTTTTTTGCAATGGAATTCTTGGCTTTATAATTATTCAACTGAAAACATTGCGTGCTCAGGAGGGCGAGGCATTCTTTCATGTGGATTTGCTTATTTCGGCTTCATACATTAATACAAATATGCTACAAAGCAAATTAACACCTTGACCAGAACTCATCAATACCTTCTGTTCCGTTTCTCTCCTTAACTACTTGTTTCCTCCCCAAAAATATTTGTGCATGCCTTTCTTTATGCTATCCTATGGAGGTTTTGATAGTTTTCACTCTGCGCTCACTCTGTTGATCACAATTGCTTGTTCACGTATTTTTTCATATATATATATGTTTTTCTAGATTTGTGAAGGAATTGCACTTTGAAATATCCCAAAGTGAGATTTTTTGGCGATGTCCACATTCGTCAGTGGAATTGCGATCCCACTGCTGTTTAGTTTTTTGTCTGTTTCCCTTATTTGTCAGTTAGACACTTTTTCTTCAGTGTTTCATAGTTCAGCTTAATTAGGTATATTGATCACACAGGATCATAATTGCCAGTATAAATGATGTTTGCATGAATTTGTTTTTTGAACATTTTGCTTTCATTTCTCCTTTAGGCTCGAATGGACTCAATAAACCGACCTTTCACTTCACTTGTATCGCCTTTATCTCCACAAACTAAAACAGCTACTCCATATTCAGCATCACAACCATCACCTCCACTTCCACCTCCTCCACCTCCCCCACCTCCACCGCCGCCTCCTCCTCCACCCCCACCTCCTCCACCTCTTCCTGGTCAGTCCGTGCCCTCTGGAACCAGCTCGGCAACGGTCTTTGTGAAATATAGCACTATAACAAGACTACAGAATGCCTCTCAGCATGGTGGGCTTCTCTACAAGTCACCTATCACAATGCAGCAGCCACCATCCCCGCTCCCGCCTCCAGGAAAACCTCAGATTTTAGTACCGCCAAATGGTATAGTCCCACCCCCGCCTCCTCCGCCTCCTCCCCCTACCCCAGGATCAGCAATGGCACAGCTCATGAAACCTGTGCCTTCCAATCCATCAGTACCACATTTCACACCGCCACCTCCTCCTGCTCCCCCTCTCAAAATTCATCAAGTTCACCAGAACATTCTTCAGTCTTCAACTTTGCCGCCTCCGCCACCTTCGGGGCCAGCACCTCCCCCTCCACAGGCTCCTCCTAAGCCTACTATGACTCTCCCTACCCAAAACAACGCAAAATCTATATCGGCAGTGGTGACACATCCAGTGCCACCACTTCCTGTTCCTTCAGCGGTAAAGAAGCAGCCAAATTTCACCGCCCCACAAATCCCGTTATCTCCCGCTTCACTAGGTCCATCTCCTCCACCTACTCTGCCCAAGCAGCAGAATCACGCTAGTAAGCTTCCTCCCTCTCCACAGTCTCCTGTGCCATCCGTTGTGAAGCAAATAGCCAGCCAGTTTCCCCCTCCTCCCATGCCAGCTTCAGAGCCCCAGCCTTTAAAACCTGTCCCTCTGAGTGTACCACCTCCGTCTCCTCCAGCCGTAAAAGCCAAGCCAAAATGGCAGCCAACCTCTGCTCCATCCCCTGATTTTCCTCCTCCACCCCCTGAAAGTAGCCTAGCGTTTCCTCCTCCGCCTTCTCCTTCTTCTTCTCCATTGATAGTGTCCCCTACACCAGATAAGTCAGGAGGTTCTCCAGTCAAAAAAGGTAGTAAGACTTCCAGTCCAGGAGCGAAAAAGCCGCCTCCTACACCTCAGCGAAATTCCAGTATAAAATCAAACAGTTCAATTGAGTCCAGTGAACCTAAGAGACCTTCAGTGGATGTCTTAGTTAGCAAGTTTGCACATCCCCCGGAGCCCTCCGGATCTCCTGGCAAGGAATCCCCAACTCCACCTGCCGCTCCTCCAAAGCCAGGGAAGCTCTGCCTGCCAATCGTCCTTCAGCAGGCAGGTATTTCAACAAAAGCACCTGCCACAGGAGCCCTAGGCAAGGGTGCTGCCGAGGAATTTCCTTCTCCTCCCTCAGATTCAGACTTTCCCCCTCCACCGCCTGAAATCGACCTTCCTTTACCTCCCGTAGAAATTCCCGCTGTCTTTTCAGGCAATACCTCGCCAAAGGTTGCTGTCGTCAATCCCCAACCTCAGCCGTGGTCTAAGTCATCCGGGAAGAAAGCTCCCCCTCCAACACGCCCCAAACGCAACGACAGCACCCGTCTCACGCAAGCAGAAATGGCGGAGTCGCAGGGGGTTGTCAGCGCACAAGTGCCCACCTCGCCCAAGTCCGGCCTTAGCGTTCAGCCTGGTTTCCTGGCTGATTTGAATAGGACTCTGCAGCGTAAGTCCATCACTCGACATAGCTCCCTCTCCTCTGCCCGGATATCCAGAGCTGAGCCTACTGCTACAATGGATGACATGGCCTTGCCCCCACCCCCACCAGAACTTCTGACAGACAAGCAGAAGACCAGCAACTTTGGAGGTAGTCATATATTAGGCTATGCAACCTTACGGAGGGGGCCACCTCCAGCACCTCCAAAGAGGGATCAAAACACCAAACTATCTAGGGACTGGTGATGTTTGGGAAGACCCTCTTTGCATTGCCAGCAAACCCAAACCGGGACACATCTGGTACTGAGATTTCCTCATCTTAATAGCCGTGAACTGCTGAAGAAGTCTGTTTTAACAGTGGCTGTGGGTAGTGACTACGTTCACTTCCAGAAACAGCCCCTAAAGCTTTGCTTATTTGTGTTCTGTGTATTAGGTTGAAGGATGGGATGAGTACTACTTCAAAGCTCAAATACTACATAAGGATTGGACCAAAATCTTTTAACACTATTTTTCCTGCTGTTCAGGAAATAACTGTTGTCTGTCAGTGTGGGACATGTGGGTTGCATGTATTATAAATGTAGGTATATAATATATTGTGAAATATTTTGTTGGGATTGTAGAGGCTCACCAGAATGTTTTTGTACATCTGTATTTATTGTTTCAGTCAACGGAGGGTTTTATCAGAATTTGGGTGATGTATTATTAGAAAAGTCATTTGCTTTTGAAAACAAAAATGTCGGGGCACCTTAGATTATTGGAAACCTCTTTGGGGAGTTGGTGACGGGTATGCAGGGCTGTTCGGTCTCTGCGCAGAATCAATTGATTGAAAAACGCGGGCACAGTCTACCAAAACATTCTGGTTGTAATACTACTGAATAGAAATCCATATAGAGAAAAAGAAAAATGTTGTGGAGTGGGGCTGCAGTTTAAGATGCTGGGTAATAATGGCATTCTGTTCTAGAATTTTTTAAGGTGGAAAAGGCCCCTTAAAAGTATTATCGGAACTTTCTCCCAAAGAAACACCGGTAGGATTGGGCTTAAACTTAAAATGTTCCAGTCACACGTTATAAAGTGGAATGTGTAAGGAATGGGACATACCAGAATGTTGTGCATTGGAAACCGGATCATCATTCAGCCAAACCCTCAGTGGGATTATTTGGACTGATGATGCTCGATTTAAATTAACAACATTTAATTCACTGTCACGTACATGTCTGTTTTGGTTAAGTGAAAATGGTGTACCAGAAGGCATTCGAGATATGCTGCGGTCATGTCTGATCAACCATCTCTCTTAACTGGTGCTGCTCATCAAATTGCCTGTGTACAAGTTTACAGGTGCGTGCATGCATATCTCTCCCTCCCTCCCTCCTCTTTCCCTCCCTCCCTCCTCTTTCCCTCCCTCCCTCCCTCCCTCCCTCTCTTTCTCTTCAGAATAAAACTTAATCAGACATACAAATATTACAAACTCTTAAAAAGAAATTTCTTTATGAACATTCAAAACCAAGTAAATAGTGAGGCTGCTCTAGCTTGTCTCAAAAGAACATGGCAGATGAACACCGTGTGGTAACACAGCTTAAATCAAAAGTATCAAAGGAAGCAACAACAAAATGGTGTTGAAAGGACAGGAGTGATGAGCATTTTGGTATAAAAACTAAGAGAAGCATTGGTTTCAGCCATCTCACAACTTTTGGTCTTTAAGTGAGATAGCTCTTCTTCCACTAAAGTTTGTGGGTAAGTCAAATGCTAAATTAAAGAACCACTATTTTAACCAGAAATATCCTAGGATATATAAAAACAACTTAAAATAACTACTGTTCATGTGCTGTGCAATACAGGGGATTGGAAAAATGTGTTTTTAAATTGGCAGTTGTAACTGAGAGTTCATGAAGACATCGGTCACTGGTTTAAAAAAAGATCCAGAGTTACTAGTCTGGATTAGAGTTTGAACCCTCAAACGTTCGCACAGTCTCATCCAGGTACGGATGTAGTAACCAGAAGTTACATCTGAAGATTCGACATTTAAAATGACTAAAACACACACATACACACTGGGGCTTCTGTTAGAATTATTACAAAACGATTCATTACAGAGTATTTGTTCTAGAAGTAAGAAAACGTGACATTTTTTTTTTCCTTTGTAGAACTGGGTTTTCAAAAATAACTCTTTAACAGAAAAAAGTGGTGCTATGTCATCGGATGCTGAAATCATAATAAGATGATTTGCTCTGCCCCAGTTTTATGCTGGGCATATTTTTTTTCCTATTTGAACAATATTTTACCTGAGCAATAATATACCATTTTGTGCATTTTTAAAGTACTGCTTTTAGAAGGCACTTTTTATTGTATCTTTCAAATTGTTTGGGATTACAAAGTGTCCTTAAGCTATTAACCACATTTGCATTAGTGTACTTTTAACACATATTTATGTCTTGTAGTATTGGTCTTTTATTTTTTTTTAATTTTGCTTTGAGAATGCGTTGGTGCTCTGCCTTTTTATTCCTGTTAGCAGGAATAAAAATCCTGCTGATGCTGCTGCCGCTGCTTGTTGGCTCTGGGAGACAAGGTCTCATTCTCCTGTGCGCTGCTTGGAGAATCCAAGCATGGGTTAACTTTGTCCATTAGCCTAGAGACTGAGTTATGAAAAAAAAACTTGACCACGCCTGCTCTGATTGGTAGAACGTAGTTGTGGGGCGGAGTTTGTCCACCTTGTTCCTTTGAACCTTCCCGTTCCTTTGGAGACAGGCAGTGTTGAAAGTACCGCCTGAATTCACCAATTGTAGCAAAACATTGTCATATGCAAATAATCAGCAGTACAAAAAAATTGTACTAGTTAAATATCTGAGGCCATCAAATTAAACTATGTGCTCTAAGGAAGGTTTTTTGATACAGAATTTGACCTGGGCAACAGCAGCAGCAGGAGTACAGCGATGCCATTTTCCAGACTTTTAAAAAGAATATTAATATAGAACTTTCTTTTCTGGTTGCTCCCATTTGGCAGGTAGGTTTCTACACTTTATTCCTCTAAGGAGGTATGTATCTTATTACCAACATAAATCCTCTGGCTAAATAGTACATCGCTATTTCTGCCCTCGTGGCTCTTCCTTTTTCAACCTTTCTCAAGGGTTCCACCACAAAACCGCGTTCAACTAAAGCGCGCTCAACTAAACTGCGTAGCTGACGTCATCAACAGGGCGACAACAGCGCGGAGAAAGAGGGGCGCTTTAAATGGCGCTTTGAAAGCAAGCCGATTCAACTT